GTGTCAACTCACCCCATGAACTCAAATAGTTTGTAAGTCAGCCATATAAATATTATTGATCCAGCCTGATAATGCTGATGGGTTGTACACTGGCTATACTTGGGCTTGTATTCACCCATCATTGGTGCTGTACCCACCAACCCATGGAGAAGGTCTATCTAGATTCAGCAAGGTTGGTTTTGTCTGACAAGGCCCAGAATCCCAACAGCTGCTGGTGATTCCCTGGTTGAGATGGCAATCACTGAATCAGTGCTGAGTAGAGCTGGGGATCTGTAGGCTAATGCCATGCTAATACCCTGTAATGGGGGATGAAGGAAACTGCTGGCACACATTGAGGTTGGCAGTGGGTAGCTAGATGTTGATCCTGCCCAGACTGCCAGTTAACCAGTCTCCACCCATGTCTGTAGTATTACACAGTAGGCGAAGGCTGTAGATAGTGCTAGCAGAGCCTGTGATGGGGGATTGTGGGTAGCTGGATTCGGATGTGGCTTTTGATGTTGCCCAGGAGGCATTCTAGCAAGTCTACAAATTCTATCATAGTCTTCCGACCATGCCTTGCAAGCTTCATGCTCCCCGTATCTCCATCCAACAATCCTTCACTTTCTGCCAGCTTCATCAGCCCTCAACTTTCCAGCCTTGTGTTCTTCCTTCTGACTCATTGTCTCAACCTTCCACCCTCAATCCTTCAGCCTGAGCCTCCCACCTTCAACCCTTGAGCCTCCCACCCTCAACCCTTCAGCCTCCCACCCTCAAACCTTCAGCCTCAGCCTCCCACCCTCAACCCTTCAGCCTCAGCCTCCCGCCCTCAACCCTTCAGCCTCAGCCTCCAACCCTCAACCCTTTAGCCTCCAACCCTCAACCCTTCAGCCTCCCACCCTCAACCCTTCAGCCTCAGCCTCCCACCCTCAACCCTTCAGCCTCAGCCTCCCACCCTTCAGCCTCAGCCTCCCACCCTCAACCCTTCAGCCTCAGCCTCCCACCCTCAACCCTCCAGCCTCAGTCTTCTTCGTCCCTCAACCCTCCAGCCTCAGCCTCAGCCTCCCACCCTCAACCCTTCAGCCTCCAACCCTCAACCCTTCAGCCTCAGCCTCAGCCTCAGCCTCCCACCCTCAACCCTTCAGCCTCAGCCTCCCACCCTCAACCCTTCAGCCTCAGCCTCCCACCCTCAACCCTTCAGCCTCAGCCTCCCACCCTCAACCCTTCAGCCTCAGCCTCCCACCCTCAACCCTTCAGCCTCAGTCTCCCACCCTTAACACTTCACACATCCACCCCCATAAAGTCTTGACCTTTTCTGTGTGGTGTTGTGATAAGTAAGAAAGACAGACTTTGGCATCAGGTAAACTAACTCGAGTTTCAGAAGCAATCATCCACCTCAAGGTTAATCTGACGCATTGTGGTTAAACTTAAGGGGTGTCCTCAAGATTTGATTATCTCCAAAATGTCTTTCTTTTAGCATTATTGTTACATCAAGTACCCATTACATTTTATGCTTGATCTATTTCAAACACAGGTCATATGTAAGATAGTTAGCAGTAGCCATTGTAAAGAGGGGCTGATACAGTAGCCGAGTGGTTAAAGCTTTCGCTCGTCACAGTGAAGGCCCAGGTTCGATTCCTCACATCGGTACCAAAAGTGAAGATGTCTCATGCCCCCTGAGGTGATATTGCTGGAATATTGCTAAAAGCGGTGTAAAAACCCTACTCACTCACTCATCCATCTGGCTAAGGATTGCTACAAATGATTGCTACAAATGATTGATACAAATGTTGGATGACTACTGAGAGGCTAAGAAGGAAGCCTTGTCGTCAACCCCAGGGTTGAAGTGTCATATATTAAGTACTTGCCTGTAACCAAGGTGATACGGGTCTTATGCTATACAGTATTGAGGGAAGATGCAACTTGACCCTAAATAAGTCCCTGGGGAGATGGTGTGCCTGTATGAGATTGTAGGCAGTGAAATCACTTGGCTAGATCAATGGAAGAATCTCTAGTGATTGCTGTTTGATGGTGATTGCCCTCGACTGATGGGGCAGTAACAACCCAATTAGGACGTGACTGTTTTATTTTTAGTTGAACTGTCACATTTTCTTCTAGATCCTTGTTGAGGCGACATTGATGGGGTTATGACCTTTGAGCTCAACAATCATCCTAATATTTGCCGGATTAATTTCTTTGCCCCAAGTGATTGATAAATCATCACAAATTGATTTGTCAAATGGATGTTGTATTCATTCAATGCTGTAGTATTTGTTGGAGTATGATTTCCTCATTGAAGAGTTACCCTGTACAAGTAGACTGAGTCTAATGTAAGTGACTTCTCTTATAATAAAGTTAGGCGGAGGGGTAGCCTAGTGGGTAAAGCGTCAGCTTGTCACCCCAAAGGCCTGGATTTGATTTCCCACATGGGTACAATGTGTGTCCCCTGCCGTGATATAAATGGAATATTGCTAAAAGCACTTCAACCCTAACTTACTCACATGTGAAGTCTCACACATCTAGTGCAGGGAACACCTCAATTCATGTTTCTGACCAACATGCAGTGGTCATCAAGTCTATCGAGTGTTATTGAACCAGACAGTCTGTATCATATTTCACACAGCCATCTATTGGTTTGTCAGATCCTGTCTTTGTCACAAGCCGACATGATATAGCTATATTCACTCTCTCTATAGATATAAAAACTGTCACGAATGACAATCAAGGCCTTTGTATCATAAAGATTTTCATAGTTTACTTAGATGGGATGATTGATTAGATATTGAATTCTTTCAACATTTTTCTATCCAAATGTGTATTCAACCACCTACACATTGTCATTAATAAGGCACATACAACCAATAGATGCTTTATTGTAGGTGTGGTGTAGCAGTGTTGTCGGTGAAGCTTCTAGACCCTTGAGACTTTGCTACTGGTCTGAATGCCAAGTCCAGTAAATAGTTCAATTGTTGAGTTTGCAATTTTAGCCAGTATTTGAGGCCTGTGTGGTAGATGTTCTTTCGGACTAGTCAAGCCTATGCTGTAGGTGTTGGTGTAGCAGTGAAGCTTCCAGACGACGCTGTAGGTGAGGTGTAGTGGTGAAGCTCCCAGCCGTTACTGTAGGTGTGGAGTGTAGGGGGACCATCTGGGACAGTCGGCTGGAATCAGGGCTTGTTACTGCTTGATGAATTGTGTGAAGAGCCTAATGAATCGTGTGAGGATGGGATTCTGCTCTGTAATCACCATCTTCCCTCCCTACTGACACATGCATCTGTTTACATTGAATCAGGACAGACATTCTCCAGCTAAAATAGAGACGGGCAAAAACTGTTGAACTTCTTTGTTTGTGTTGGTTGTGCATAGATAGGATTGTTGCTCCCAGTTTGGGGAACGTAGACCGCTGGTGTATTCTGCTCTCAAGAGCTGGGTTTGTTTAGACTAGCTTTGAAATGCTCGTTTGACTACCAATATCTCCTTTTGTTTCTGAACAGATAATACTTTCAGCATATTTATGTGGATGTAGAAATGAGACCAGTGAAAATATAGAGGGTCTAGTTTTTTCTCTCAAAACGAAGTTATTTTACAAAACAAATCACTAGTCAGAAATGAGTGTGGACTAGTTGTGTATGGCCAATGGTGTCTACCTCTGTATATTTCTCCCATTCCTTCTTGACTTTGTCCATGGAGAATGGTATGTATTGTACAGAATTTGTCCACAAGAGACTGGCTACAAAATGAGTAGTCATGACATAGTAAGAAAAACTGAATATTCCCTATGGTGTTTCTGGGCAAAATAGGCTTCAAGTTCCCTTGTGTCTGTCATAAGTGCTTTCAATTTTTAATTGACAGAAAAAAACTTGGCTTAATATTAGTGGAAACAAGAAATAATTCCACTTAGAATTCATTTTTACTGCTTTAAAACAATATTTTTTTTAAATTATTGCTATGACATTTATTTAGTCTTTAGGTTGGTGAAAGTAGCTTTCTTCTCTAAATATTTCCCTGGGTGGTGATCTGGGTTAAAATAGGTCCCCAGTACCCCATTTGTGGTCATAAGTGACCCTGTTGTGAAAAAGATATTTAGGGAATATACACATTACACCCTCAGGCCATGAGGTACACCCCCTGCACAGGCAGCCTGTCCTGTCCATCACCATGACAACTGGTGGGACAACTGGAGTTGGCAGACTGTCACTTTGTCACTGTCAGGGATGAGTGTGTACCGTGAAGCTGACAATAGCTCCACTAACGGCATTACCTCCCCTGTGACCTCACATGTTGTGTTCGGTCTGTGTCAACTGGGTAAGGTCACACCCCACTGACACGCCCACTGAACACACATCCCACATTAATGACTAAAGGACCCGTGAAGATCCGAGGTAGAATAGGTCTTCAGCAACCCATTCTTTTAAAAGGCAACTATGCTTGTTGTAAGAGGCGACGAACGGGATCGGGTGGTCAGGCATGCTCGCTTGGTTGATGCCTGTCATCGATTCCAATTGCGTGGATCGAGGTTCATGATGTCAATCACTGGATTGTCAGGTTCAGATACTATTATTTACATGATCATATGGCTGGAATATTGCTGAGCCGCGTTTAACAACAAACAAACAAAACAACAATAAACAGCTGGAAGAAAGACCTTAACACAGAATGTTCAGTCTCAGTTACATATAACATAAATAGAAACAGTAGAAGAAGTCAACTGACTAACAAGTGAAATTGCCAAGTTTGAATATTTTTTGGACATACTTGGTATGTGTTTGTGTTTTTCTACTGTGCATTAGGAAAACTGTGAGCTTGAAGTTTGATTTGTGTAGGTTACTAGTTACATCTTGAGTGGCTATAGATGCAGTTGACATCTATGTGAAAACATGGCATCAACTTCAGGAAAGGTTAAAAATGTGAAACTATCAGTAATAACTGGACATTAAAGGTTAAAAATGTGAAACCATCAGTAATAACTGGACATGAAAGGTTGGATCTTTTGTTGACACAAATTACAGTGGATGTGTTGTTTTCAGGTCCCCGAATTAATGGCCATGCAAAGCATGAACGACATCGAGAGCGGCCTCCCGGCCCCCATCAGTATGAGACATCCACCATGATGAGCAGTGATCTCGAAACCACCAGCTTCTTTGACTCGGAGGATGATAGCAGGTGAGACACCATGTAATTGTTGGCTTCGTTCAATATCACTGTACATTCTCGCAAAATCAGGTGCCCCCTGCCCTGATATTGCTGAAATATTGCTAAAACTCACTCACTCACTCTCAAACTGAACATTATAACAAGGGACCATCTCTGTGGTCCAGTGGTAGAGCGTCCGCCCGGAGAGCGGAAGGTCCTGGGTTTAATTCTCGGCCGCGTCGCACCAAAAGATGGTTCCTTTGTTGTTACCATGTCTGGCGCTCGGCATTAAGGGGCAAAAACAAGGACTAGTCGGCTCAGAGTTGGTGTACTGTGTCTGAGTGGGGTGTTAATGTTAAACTGTAGCATGGTATCTCAGTGAGCTAGCACTATCAATCAGCATCAGTCCGTACTAGAACAAGCCGACACACACATGCATACATGTACATGCACGTCGCTTCATTAAAGTGGACGAGACATTAAAATCAATTTGACCTCACCTTTTAACAAGGGTTAATTCGCTTGACAAGCTGTCGTACCATTGAGTTATGTATTGCATGACCAATGTCATTGAATACAATCTCCGAGCAGCGGCAGAAACTAACATTTTTAGTCCACTAGTCCTTGTAATGATAACATGCAGGCATCTTAAGGGTTCATAAAATTTCTGGCATTTTGGGAAGGTATCAATGAGGGGGGGAAATCTTCAGGTTCATAACAAATTATGGATGATAGAATGCATATGATATGTTGTGGTACGCATCACAATACCTGAATCATTATTGCACTAAATTACAACATGAAAGTCAGGCCAATACCCAACTAGTCCTCGTTAGTCAAAAGTTGGGTCCTTAACAAAAGTTGAGTAGTATATGTTATCACTATTAGGGTTGGAACATGTATCAGGTTAAGTTGTCTCCCCTAGGACCAGTTGGTCAACATGGCTGCTGGGTATGGATAATGGATGGCACATCGCTTGGGAACTCATGTATGTGTCTCTACCAAAATCAGAAATTCATTATCAGCCGTGATATAACTGAAATACTGCTCAGTGCAGTGTTTGGACCAGTGCACCAATCTGATCATTGTATTTTGTGGTTACAGGTTTTCAACAGTTACTGATACAACAGGAATGTCATCACGATATGGTCGCCATCGGAAACGGCGGAGGAGACATCGGCCGCCTCCTATCAGTAGAGTAAGATTATATCCTGATGTTATTTTTTTTTTAATATAAAATAAATGCTAATGTTGCATTAGTGTAATTGGGATATTTATTTGCTCACCAATCATTTGGGATATTCCCTTATTTTGATGCCTGGGGAGAAGAGGTTGCCAATTACCCAGGCTTGTAATAGAGCTGGATATATAGAGGAATGGGTGGTTATGTGTGACTGGCTGATTGTGTGTCATCATACCCCGACAGCATGATGTTTACCTAACCACCGGTTTGCTCCTTCAGACTTTTTAGTTACAGACCACTGTGCCAAAAACCTTCTAAATAACTATCTCAAACTTTGTAATTATTTTTCATAATGTGTTATTTGTTTGCACATGGTCTTTACTGCTCGAACTGAGCTCTTGGCATCATTTGCACAAATTATAGTGTTATTAAATGTGGCATTAAATCTTAAAACATGATTTTTCGAGTCTTGTGTTTCGGTGAATACTGAAAACTGTTGACGCTCTGGTCAGTTTTGGAAAGGGTTGGTTTGTAGACAGTTATTGCCATCTGATATTGAATTTGTTATTTTTGTGTTTATCATTGATCTGTGTTTTGTTTCAGGCTTCATCATTTAGCAGTATAACCGATTCGACAATGTCTCTAAACATAATAACAGTTACACTTAATATGGGTAAGTTGATGCACTGTTCAGTAGTGTCATGTCTCTTGCTGTTTACTTTGTAAATGGAAGAATATGCAGTTGGTATGCATGGTGTGCGGATTATCATCAGTTTGATCATCAGTAAAAGAACAGCTATACAACTAAAACTTCATGACATATGCCTTACCATTTGTCAGCAAACTGTTAAAGGCTCTGTCAATATTAACTTCAACATTAAGTAGATTTGTAGTTGCTAATGCTTCTTATCACTGGATGTGATTGGAAAGGACAAAAAGAAATATTCATGACCTGTAGATTCAAATTTGAGATCAACAGATGATTTGCATTAGTTAAGGTTGGCTTATGTTCAGTGGTGTATGTGTGTTACAATGATGTTGGTTTGTGTTACAGTGATGTTGGTTTGTGTTACAGTGATGGTTTGTGTTACAGTGATGATTGCGTGTTACAGTGATGTTGGTTTGTGTTACAGATACAGTCAACTTCCTGGGAATCAGTATTGTGGGACAGAGCAACAAGGGAGGGGATGGCGGCATCTATGTGGGCTCCATCATGAAAGGGTGAGTACGCCAGACTGACGCCTGTCATAATGGCAACACTGAAACTGGAAGATCTTGATATCCCTTGACTCTTCAAGGAACCCTTTCCCAGTGAAGAATTCCCATACTTTTTCGTAAGAGGTGATTAACAGCATCGGGTGCGGTGACTGGGTTGATGCATGTTGCCGTATCCCGTTGGTCAATGCTCACTGGATTGTGTAGTGACTACTTTATTTCAGTTATGTAAAAGAAGCCATTCTGTTTTCTTCATTACAGCGGCGCTGTAGCTCAAGATGGCCGCATTGAACCAGGGGACATGATTCTCGAGGTGAATGGTATCAGTTTCGAGAACATGAGTAACGATGATGCCGTAAGGACGTTACGAGAGGCAGTACAGAAACCGGGGTATGTTGAATACCTTGGCTTACTTGAATAGTTTTGCAATTTGTAAAGCTTTATTACAAATAACTGGAATATTAATCCTGTAGCTTTAAACTACATTCCCTCACTTAATAAGCTTTGTGTTAAAAATATCCAAACAGTATTCAAAAGGTATTTAATGTAGCAATTGGCAGATACAGTGTATAGTTGATGAATAGTTTTATGAGATGTTCAGATATTGCCATTATCCATTGGAATCACCTGTGTGATAACTGATTTATGTCATCTTGTTTCAGTCCAATCACACTAGTCGTAGCCAAATGTTGGGACCCAAACCCTAAAGGTTATTTCACAGTTCCAAGACAGGAGCCAGTTCGGCCAATCGACCCGTCGGCGTGGGTTGCACATACGACTGCGATGCGGGAACACTACATGGGGCGTGGCGGACCCAGCACCTCAATCAGCAATATGACGTCAACTAGCTCCTCACTCACTAGCTCTATACCTGAGTCAGAACGTAAGTTCATCCCTCTATCTGGAAGGGGTAGTAGGGAGATATCACTTTCCCAACTGCCCAAAACACATGGCCCCATACCTGAGAGCATCCTTCAGGCTATGGGACAGATTTGTTTCATTGTTGTTGTTTTTATCATTTGGGGCAAGAAATGGAGGTGGATTGTCTATTTCCTGCAGGGTTTAGGGTTGATGGGGGTAGCTAAGTGGCTAGAGCGTTCGCTCATCACATCAAAGGCCTGGGTTCTATTCCCCACATGGGTACAATGTGTGAAGCTTATTTCTTCTGTTATGATGTTGCTGGAATATTGCTAAGAAAGCAGCATAAAACCCAACTTGCTCATATGGCACTTGCTGGCTACTGAATACTATGTTAAGTACTTATGATTAAACTGTTGGGATTGTTGACGTATACATGCAAGAAACAATATACGTTGCTACATGACATTGCAATATGGTTGTTGCCCTTATAAACTGTACTTAATGGCTTAAGCACAAATGAAATAAAATTAACAAGCTATTTTTTTGTTTTCAGGGTTTGATGACTTAAATCTCACAGTGAATACTGACATGGCAACCGTTGTCAAGGCGATGGCACAGCCAGACTCAGGGCTGGAAATCCGAGACAGAATGTGGCTCAAAATAACGATACCAAATGCTTTTATAGGTATATATATATATATATATGTTTATATGTATGCTTCATGTTTTAGAGCAGAAAAGGCTTCAATACCAAGTGATTGTTGTTATGGCAACTAATTGGGAATCAAATGGCCACAATGGCTGCCAATTATGGATAGTCCTTTTGATAGTTTATCCCTCACAGAGTAGCTGTGATCAAGTTGATTCAGTGTTCCTCCATTGCAATATCTGCTTGATGAATGAGTTATCGTCTGACCTTCCCGAATAGGTTCAGATAGATATTAGCTTCCAATATATGGGCGACCCCTGAACATCCAGGTAGAGAATAGGTCTTCAGCAACCCATGCTTGCTGTAACAGGCAACTATGCTTGTCGTAAAAGGCGACTAACAGGATCGGGTGGTCATGCTCGCTGACTTGGTTCATGCATGTCACCGCATCACAATTGTGTGGATCGATGCTCATGATGTGAATCACTTGATAGTCTGGTCCAGACTTGATTATTTACAGACTGCCGTCATATAGCTGGAATGTTGCTGGGTGCTATGTTAAGCAACAAACAAGCAATATATGGGTGTATGTGCAGACAAACATGACTAAATCATTGGGCAATATATGGGTGTATGTGCAGACAAACATGACTAAATCATTGGGCAATATATGGGTGTATGTGCAGACAAACATGACTAAATCATTGGGCAATATATGGGTGTATGTGCAGACAAACACGACTAAATCATTGGGCAATATATGGGTGTATGTGCAGACAAACATGACTAAATCATTGGGCAATATATGGGTGTATGTGCAGACAAACATGACTAAATCATTGGGCAATATATGGGTGTATGTGCAGACAAACATGACTAAATCATTGGGCAATATATGGGTGTATGTGCAGACAAACACGACTAAATCATTGGGCAATATATGGGTGTATGTGCAGACAAACACGACTAAATCATTGGGCAATATATGGGTGTATGTGCAGACAAACACGACTAAATCATTGGGCAATATATGGGTGTATGTGCAGACAAACACGACTAAATCATTGGGCAATATATGGGTGTATGTGCAGACAAACATGACTAAATCATTGGGCAATATATGGGTGTATGTGCAGACAAACATGACTAAATCATTGGGCAATATATGGGTGTATGTGCAGACAAACATGACTAAATCATTGGGCAATATATGGGTGTATGTGCAGACAAACATGACTAAATCATTGGGCAATATATGGGTGTATGTGCAGACAAACACGACTAAATCATTGGGCAATATATGGGTGTATGTGCAGACAAACACGACTAAATCATTGGGCATTATATGATGCATGGGGTTCATTCATATCCTCCTCCTCCTCCTAACATGACTTCATTGAGTGAAAATACGTGTTAAACATTGATTATTACAAGAATGGCATTATTTGATAAAGAGATTATTTTCCTTGTGTGTGCGTCTTCTTGTAAATATCATGTGTTAGGAAAGAAGGATATGTATTATTCTCGCCATAGGCTCACATAAACCAATTGTTTATTCTTAACAAATGATATTTACAGTAAAGAAACCGCTCAACTAATAATCTAATAAAGACTGAAAAGGATGCTGAAAGAGTGATCTTGAATCAAGAAATTCGGACAAATTGTTGTGACATGATAATCAGGTCATTTATTCTTTCGCTCAGGTTCCGATCTTGTAGATTGGCTCTTTACGCACGTGGAGGGTTTCGCTGACCGGAGAGATGCAAGGAAATATGCTTGTAATCTGCTGAAAGCTGGCTACATCCGGCACACAGTCAACAAGCTGACGTTTTCAGAACAGTGCTACTACGTCTTTGGAGATCTCTGTGGTAAAGTTTTGTCTTTTAATCATTTTCAGTGTTCAAATCCAAGAGTTGCCTGATTATATTTCAGGTTTTGTCAGCACAATACCCATGTTCATGTGGTAAAGTCTACGGCCTGAATCATTTTGTGTTAACTTGTTAACATGAATACTGTTCAAAGTAGCATTAAGCAAATCTTGTTAACTCACACTGTTTAGCATTTCCTCTCACATCAAGCTGACACGTCATGATATAACTGAAATCCTGTTCAAAGCAGTGTTACAACACACTCACTCACCTGCTAATTTACGACATCATCTTTGGTCAGTTTTTTTTTAATTTCCATGATAATGTAGTGTGAATAGGGATTCCAGGTTAGAGTAGTCTACTTTAACCTTTGCTTGTCAACTAAAATTGACCGGGGGGTCAGGCTTGTGTGTCATCACTGTGTGACCTTCCATGGAGAACCCAGGTTAGAATAGGTACCCAGCTATGTCTGCTGGTGGTAAAAGGTGACCAAATGGATGGGGTGGTCAGACTCAGTCTTGCTTGATAGCGTATCATTGTTCCCCATCACAAGGATCGTTGCTCACAACATCAGTCACTGGATTGTCTGGTCCCGACTTGATTCTGTACAGGCTGTCATACAGCTGGAATATTGCTGAGTGCGGCGTTATCAGATAAAAGTTACACCCTGACACAGTGCTCATGATATTAACCAGTGGTTTGTGTGGCCCAGTGTATATACTGGTGTATAACAACAATATAATAATGACCTCCCATGTGGTGTATACAATGTTATATACTTGCTCCTCTCTCCTGTTTCAGGTCCTCCGCAGTATCCAGGTAAGCCTGCAGTCACTGATTGCATTTGTCACCTCCCATATCTCCTCCTTAATCAGTTGCCAGAATTCTAAACTACTTAAAAACAGTGGTGTCATTGGTGGGAAGTTTGGTATCACTATGTTGACTCAAGAGTATCACAGCATATCAGAGTATGGCAGTATATCAACAGACCTGTGAAGATCCGGGGTAGAATAGGCCTTCAGCAACCCATGCTTGCCATAAAAGGCAACTATGCTTGTCGTAAAAGGCGACTAACGGGATCGGGTGGTCAGGCTCGCTGACTTAGTTGATGCATGTCATCGATCCTAATTGCATGGATCGATGCTTATGATATCAATCACTGGATTGTCTGGTCCAGACTCTTTTATTTACAGACCGCCGTCATATAGCTGGAATATTGCTGAGTGCGGCGTTAAACAACAAACAACAAACAAAACTGTATATGCATAAGTAATAATATTAATGTTTCTGTATGTTTATTGATAAAACATTACTTATGATGACCTGGAAGTTATAAATTTAATGACAAATAAGAACGGCTGGCCCATTAATGGTTTAAATTTTCTGCCTCTTCATTGTCCATCTTATTACACATAAACGTTTCTGTGGCACTGGATTATTTATTTGGTATCGATATTCATAAATTTGTAAGTTGCTACCAAACGGTGGTCAGACTCGGCGACTTGGTTGATGGCGTGTCATACCCTGACACCGTGGATCGTTGCTCACGATCAATGAATTGTCTGGTCAGGACTCGATTATTTACACGTCGCCGCCATACAGCTGGAATATTGCTGAGTGCTGCATTAAACAACAAATAACAACAGGTATTATAGAAATAATGCAAGTTAAATGCTGGACAGCACTGTATATTCATTACTCCTTCTCCAGATCTGACATCGCTGAGTCTTGAAGACGTGGACTCTGTATCAGAAGCCGACCGTGACACCCTCGCCCCCCTGCCACCCCCTGCGTGGAACAATCAATACCCCTACAGCAGCTCCAACTACTTGCCCCAGAACCTCAGCTATATACCCCCCTACAGCTACACAAGCACTGACAACACCAGCTACGTCGGCAGCTTCGTCGACGGCATGCCGCCCCCACCTGTTGGTGCAGTGCCCCCTGGTGGTGGAGGTAATGGCAGTGCAGGGAGTGTCCATAGTGCATCAGGTAAGGCGGTGGTTGTGGAAATAGAATGTTTTTGGGTAGTATGTCTTCCTACTTATCATCCCTTTGAGGACGAATGGAATTGTCCGTTCAGATCCATCATCTATGGATTGATTCATTTTGGTGTAGGTTTCTTTTTTTAAAGAGAGTTTGTGTTTTATGTATCAACCTGTCTCCCCTTCAATGTAAATGGTATTGTCCATTCCTAGCCAAAAAGAATCCTTAGCTTTGTATATAATTGTTAGAGTATTTTGGTTATAGGGGGTTTGTCAATTTGACAAAGAAAGTTTGTGCAGAGAATCCAAAATTACTGCTGTTTTATTTCTCGCTTTGCTTTATTTGAGCTTGCAATTGAGACAAGTTAAAAGTATTTCATTTCAATTTGCTTAAACTTGAGTTCATGTTAAAGTTAAGATGTATTTTTCTATGTTCCCATTTTTATGATGAAAATAAGCATTTTGTCTCTGTTTATATTTATTGGCTTGCCAATTAGACATTAATGGCTGTGGGTGATTTGCTTTTACTAACCTAATATTTAGTCTTGCTAATGCTCAACTAAGTACATTCTTATTATGTGCCTATGAAACATGTGTTTGAATGTGATATATTAATATAAAAGAATGAGAACAATAAACAAATGTTGGTTGCCAAAGACCTCTTTGGCCATGACTAGTTGGAAATATTGACCGGGGTGGTTAATCTTGACCAAATATTTTCCATTTATGTTAAGATCATTTTCATTTTATTGAATGTAATCTCAAACTTTGAGGAATTTAAGAACTATAATTGGATGCGTTTGAGTCAAAGGGAGATAACTGTGGTGTTACTTGCTAAAGGAACATAACCTAAGAAATGGATTAAGTGTTCCAAGATATTTTGGACAACTATGTTTCTACTTTGCTAAAGAAACACTGCTATGAGAAACTGATTAAGCCTACAGGTATTATCCAAGATATTTTGGACAACCATGGTGTAAATTTACTGAAGAAACACTGCTTTGAGAAACTGATTAAGCCTATAGGTATTATCCAAGATATTTTGGACAACCATGGTGTAAATTTACTGAAGAAACACTGCTTTGAGAAACGGATTAGGCCTATAGGTATTATCCAAGATATTTTGGACAACCATGGTGTAAATTTACTGAAGAAACACTGCTTTGAGAAACGGATTAGGCCTATAGGTATTATCCAAGATATTTTGGACAACAGAGAGGACAGATGACCTGATGGTACTAGTTGTTGCTGTTGTACTAATGTGAAATTCAAAGGCTAACTTTGATTTGTTTGTTTGTTCCTTACTCTGCAGTAGCATGATACGGGCAAGTCCGTCTTACCGTTGCTTGCAACTCTTGCTTCCTAGCTGCTGCTTGTTTTATTTGCCACTTGTCACATTACCATGGTTGTCCTGGCGACACCTGCGTTGTCATGGCTGCATGTTGGTTGCTAGGTCACGGCCACACATGCTTAGTCTGCGAGACATTTCAGTCTGGGTCACATGACCTGCTTCTTTGCTTCAGAGCATCTTTCATTATTCATATTGGAATCTCTCACAAATTTTCTGATCTTTGTTGAACTGGTATGTGGAGATACTCTGTAAACGGATGCATTGTGAAGAGTAAGGTCAAGGTCGTTAATATGTATCTAGGATAAAGTATGGAGTCCAGATATAACAAGTGGTTAATTTGTAAACTAGTTATTTAAGATCTGTGGTTATCATTTGATTGTGATGGTGATTCATCAGTTCCGAGCATGTCACACTCACTCACTCACTCCCTCCCTCCCCACCCTCCCGGCATGACATTCACACACATCACGTCAAGCATGCTTCTCTGTGTTGCTCGTTATGCATGCCTAGTTGCTTGCACACTTCGCTTCATTCATGTCCCGAGTCTGGCCAGGAATGCCAGCTGTTGTACTGTGTTGTTTCAATATGTGTGATTTTCTTTTGATTTCCTGTTGATTTCAGTCGCTGCTAAAGACTGTACATGTTTAGTTAGTACATACAATCATTTGCGCAAGCTTTGGGAAAATAAGGATAAACAAAGTGCCCATCACCATCAACAGTCCTCCTCGTGTGATCCCCACCGGCGTAGCTTGGCGGAGCACACCGCCCACGCCATGCATGGGAGCAGACATCATATTGCATGGAGGAGAAATTCCTCGAGTAGTTTGGGTTTGTAGTCTTCTCCTTGCACTTCCGTCAACCCCCCTCCAAAAAGTTGACTGCTGATTGTTTGGTCACATGATTTGCCCTTCTTTTGTCCACCCTCAGTTTGAAATGAAACAAGTTTCGGATTTGTATTGACAAAAAACTTTACTTCTGTTTTTAAAGTCACATTATTAAATATGTGACTTTGATGGGGCATTTGCAAATTCCTATACTGTAACCCTCTCACTGAGATGCCTCTGGAAACTGACCAGCTTTGTGAGGCTATCAAATATTTTCTCGCCATGGACATCCTCAAAGTACTTGACAGTTGTGGCTTAAGTGTTAACTGATCAGTGACCTTGAGGTACTGTTATGTACATGAAGTAATGGTTAATAATTTGACTTGATAGTAAGTAGCCAGTCTTCAATGTTAATGTTTCTCTCTCTGAAATAATCATTTGACTGACACACCAGCAGGCAACTGAGCTACGGGGACCCTATCTAGATTATCCTAAACATAGTTGTAGATGTATTTTATTTCCATCATCAGTAACTGTATGTGTAGTTATTTAAATCAGTGTTTATGATGTACTTTATGTATTAGGGCTGGGACGAGTCCAAATTTACTACCCGGGTACCCGGGTACCTGACCCCCTATTACCCGACCCTACACGGGTACCCACTGCAAGTTTCAAGAGTTGGGAACAAAATGCCTGATTGGTAATTGTTTACCGCAGCCCTGGCTAAAAGATACAGATACTATTTAGATACATGTATCAAACAATCAGATCATGCGTTCACTGAAGTTTACTGAAGCTTGTTCTTTGCTCAAACATATACAAGTCAAAAGGAATGTGTGCATCGTCAGAAGGAAATGCGAACATTAGCGACATTAGTGTAACCGCTGCGCTATAGTGAGTTTTTGTCATTTAACAATATATCACGTGACTAACCACGGGTCTGGGTAGTCCTGTGGGTACCCGGGTCCTACTCAGGACCCATCCGACACGAGTACCCGAGTTACCCGTCCCAGCCCTATTATGTATGTTAGAATTAGCCTGTTAGGTTTCTTTGTCAGCATGTTGTAGTATGTTAGAATTAGCCTTTAGGTGTCTTTGTCAGCATGAAAGAAGTCAACTGTTTGTATATGTGGTTAGTATTAATAGATAGTGTTTTATAGATACAAAAATAAGGCATGCTTTTAAAGTTAGAAAATGGCCCCATCCAGTTTGAGCATATTAAGTGTTAGTAATACCATGATTAAGGCCAAACGGTAAGAGAATAGTCTTTGTAAAACAAACTGAGTACTTAATGGTATGGATAACTTTGTAATAAGTACTTTCCATAACTGCATCAGCTAATCTAACGCATCACCCATACCGCTGCCACTAATTCCTCCGTCATTGCTACTAATGCTGGGTAGACAAAGTTAAAGTCAACATTGAATTAACTGCAAGAGATCTGAATAGACAATGTGATATGCTGTGTATTTTACCGTTTGTAGTTAACTCCAAATTGTCATGGAATATGGATACTTATAAACCTTTCACAAAGCTAGGATTTTATGGAATAAATCTTATTTGTATCTCATATTAAAATGGAATTTGTATCATGAGAATAATGACTTCATCCAATGTGTTTTAGACTACTTTCATGTCTGGTCAGTAAAGGTTTTAATGTGGATCATGTGGTTATACCGACCAATAAATTGATAAGTACACTGTTGGCTGTGAAACTATTCTCTCATGCCGTGTAAAAGTATACAAAGGGAGATAATTACAAAATGTGTCATATAGATATTATTTTGGCTGACAATTTCAATTTTTCTTGTTTCAAATCTGTCTCATGTTCATTTTGTGGAGTCATGATCAGTCTCTTTCATTCATTGTCACAACATCAAGTTTTAAACTAAGTTGATTGTTTTCAAGAACAGTTCATTTGCTCTTTCTGCATGAAGAGTTCGAAGGAGCATTAAGTGAAGACATTTACCAAGTAGAAGCAGTTTTAGAGTTGTCTTTCCTTGATTGTCAGTTGTTAACTATGATCTGAGCAGTTGTTGGTGGAACATTTCATTGTTTTGCTAAACTCCTGTGCATGATGTACGAATGGTGTTGCATCTACAGATTGATCATCATAACATGGCACATGTAACAATATGTCTCCTGTCTGTACCTACACTGAGTGATGTCTATCTTCCTGTGTGGAAGTGATACCTGCAGCTCACAAACTCATCAATATTGGCACATGCTACATAGATACTTATTATCAACTTATGGCACCGGCAGCCCACAAACTCATCAATATTGGCACATGCTACATAGATACTTATTATTAACTTATGACACTGGCAGCCCACAAACTCATCAATATTGGCACATGCTACATAGATACTTATTATCAACTTATGGCACCGGCAGCCCACAAACTCATCAATGTTGGCACATGCTACATAGATACTTATTATCAACTTATGACACCGGCAGCCCACAAACTCATCAATATTGGCACATGCTACATAGATACTTATTATCAACTTATGGCACCTGCAGCTGTATCATTTCACTTCATGTCATCGTGTCCCAATTGCGTGGATCGATGCTCATGATGTCAATCACTGGATTGTCTGGTCCGGACTTGATTTTTTACAGACCACCGCCATATAGCTGGAATATCACTGAGTGCGGCATTAAACTTCATTTCTGTATAATTACTTCTTTGAACGATCAGTCTTCAGTAAAAATAGGATGATGTTTTGTTTCTACTTGCATCATGTACCACTGCATCTTGCCTTCATTTTTTTTTTTTTAATTTTACGGGAAAGAGAGAATAGATTGTAACCACACTTTCATTCTATTTGTGACGACTCTTGAATTTTATTCTGCTCTTCATGCATTGTCTTACTTCTAAAATGGGGGAAAAAATGACTTACCTGTAAAACTGTCAAGTATATTTTTCATCTTACCAGCCACATATTTATTTATTTTTCAGTTTACCAAGAATAATTATATTTGTATTAACAACATCAAATTTAATAATCTGTAAACAGAAATAAATACATTTGGAAGAAGAAATAGTTGGATCATGAAAAACAAATAGAAACAATACATCTATTTTTCCATCTTCACTGTATTGGCAGTGGCTGTCTTCACACTGTCAAGTAAAACCCTGGATGTACACCTATCACCTTCATCGTCACTTCAAATAGACATTACCCATCATGCCCCTGTCTCGTCTTGACACGACACACACCAGTGCTGTTCGGCAGCCTTGTTCTCTGTGTACAGCTTTTGCTCTGCCATGTTGCGCCATTTCCGTTTCCGCAGCAGTGTGTTCGTTATCAGCTTGCTATTCTTTTCTGCTTGCTTGATATTGGTTTCTCTGACACACGAAGGTGCAGTTGCCGGAATTCATCCTGAACTTTGACATTGAGAAATGTCCCCCAACTGGACTGATAGGAGCTGTGAATGCAGGCAGGCTATGGAAGCATAGGAGTATTGGAATATGCACTACAAGTTTCAGTTTTTTGCAGGCTATCCTACTTTGCAGTCATTGTCAGCTTCTATGTCTAGTTTTCACAACGCTCTTGAGAAAATAAGAACATACAATCTTATCTGCAGGATGTCTGCTGGTCTTTCACATTTTCTATGGTAATATTCAAATAAGAATTATTGGATGTCACTGTTCAGTTAAAAACAGAACGAAAGTGTTACTGTATATTGTGTTGTGTGCTTACTAACTACCACATCTGGATAAAATGGTAATCTGTAAGAAAAGATCATTACTCCTAGACGATAGTGTGCTATTTTCTTAGCAAATGGATGAAACTGTTCCAAACTACCTCACTATGTACTGTGCAGTGACATTCCATTGAGATAGAGAGCTATGACTTTACAAAACAAGGTTACAATGCAGAGACCTCACAGTTTCAAGAATATTGTGTGCTTCTGTTTGCTTTTGCACTAAGCAATACAAGACCTGACTAAAATGGGAATTATTCATATATTGTTTGAAATGACGATGACGCTGTCGTTGACGTTTGACTTTAAGTCTAGGGATCTGACTTGCACCACATTGGTGATAGAAATGTGTTGTTAAAAAACTCACGCTATGTAACAGCGTGTGGGCAGTGAACACGAAAAACACCAGCAGACATCCTCAAGTATTTTCTGGATATAATTGTTGATGTTTCAACACAAATCAATATTTCAAATGATACATCCCACGATTGCTTGTACTATCTAGGGATAATCTTCAATTAATGTCCTCTTCTTGTGATCACTGATCTTGTTTTGTATGATGGGCTACTCTCACATGATGATAACTTGCACCAGTCTTTCAGCTGTCAGTAGAGGGGACTTCAACTTCTGCTTCTCCTTCTCAGCCATTTTAAATATCGTAAGACTGGCTAATAATGCTGTGTTTTGGATCTGCCTAGTCTCCGATCTCCCTCAGTGTTCAAAGTGAGCATTAAAGTCAAGCAGGCCTTGCCAAAAAACCTGATGTTAACTGTCCAGAATTTAGGGATCCCTAGATATAAATACTAGCAGCAATCTCAAGGTTCTCAGGACCCCCACTTACTTTCAACCACTGCTGTTGATTTTGATGATAGGTTAATCACATACGGTATTTGCCGTAAAAGCACCCCGGGCACTTCGGAAATTGCAAAGGAGGATGTTTACTAAAACCATATTCAAACAGTTCAAACGTTGATGAAACTGAAACTTCTTCTACAATAGTAAATCACATAAATGTTTAGTCTTTGTAGGGGCACTTATAATTATTACTTACAGATTGGTCTAGTAGTTGGTCGGGGTTCGCTTACTGGAACAAGGTGCTTAATACGGTAAATACGGTACCTAAATGGAAAGTTCCTTTTTTAAACCGCTGCTGAATTTTGAAAAAGATGCATCCAACTGATCCGTAATATTGAGACCCTTAGTAAGAACCACAAGATTTTTGGTGTCCAAATTTGGTCGGAATGTTCACACTTTGCTTAAAGTAAGAACAAACTAATTAACATGGTTGATAATTCAGTCTGACATTTACAGATGTAGGTCGAAATGATATCAGAATCTTTGTCCCCAAAACTGTATAGACTTTGCACTGCTCTATTTACAAGCTTAAAGCTTAAATGTCACAATTTGGACTTTAATGTGACTGATAAATCCTATTTTTTAAGTTCTGATTATGATCAAAATTTTGAAAAGAGTTCTTACCCCCCAAAACATTTATGTGTCCAAATTTGTCCAAATTGGGTCAGCAGGTGCTTGGCCTTAATGGCCTGAAGAAAGCCTGTGTGAAGTTATCTATCATTTGTAAACATTGACATTTAGATATGGTTGCCATAGTAACTAACATTGTTACCATGGTATCCAGTATTTGACATATGCCCCTCTCTCTCTCTCTCTGACTACCAGTACAAAATGCATGTTTGTGTCTCCCCCGGCACTGGCACGGTGCGGCCGAGAAGTTCCTTCACAAAACTCTCTGTCATGATGATACGTTTGAACCTAACAACAATATTCCTGGTGTCAAAACCACGGCACAAGCCGCCACGTCCGCGAGTCAAAACAAGACAGGTTAGTGACCCGTTGCACGGAACACCATCATCTCACTATCGTCATCAGAGACAACGCATAACGACCTTGACCTCATGCTATCGTCTCCAAAGACATTCACCATTGTCATCTCATAGCCTGGAATGTCATGTTGGCATGGTAATCAGACATCAGTATTGTCTCATCATCTAGTGATTAATGACATCAATATCATAGGAGGTTGGTAGCCTAGTGGCGTTCACTCATCACACTGAAGGCCTGGGTTTGATTCCCCACATGGGTACAATGTGTGAAGCCCATTTCTGGTGTCCCCCTCCGTGATATTGCTGGAATATTGCTACAAGCGGTGTAAAACAATACTCACTCACTCATAGTCTCATCATGATGTTGTCTGTGGCATGGAATGTCATGTTTTAATCATTGCCAAACATCTGGTGTCATTCCTGAATATCATCACCAAGCATCGTCATCATATCTTGAACTCATCACCCCCAGTTGAAACACTTTAGCTGCTAGAATCCTCTGCTTGCAATCAAGGATTTCACCGAAGTGGTGAACATCTTCAATGTGCTCGCCGCGAATAGCTGCAAAATTGCTGATGCGGCGTTAAGCAATATTCACTGACTCACTCTTCAGTGTGCATCCTTAGTGCTTTCCTCAAACACAAAGTTGACTCCATGATACGAAGGAGATATTGGTCACAGCTGTGTTAAACCCACTCCAGACTGATAGGACCTATGTGCTGTGCTACCAGCCATGTTACGTTGCTACCACTCCAGACTGATAGGACCTATGTGCTGTGCTACCAGCCATGTCACGTTGCTACCACTCCAGACTGATAGGACCTATGTGCTGTGCTACCAGCCATGTTACGTTGCTACCACTCCAGACTGATAGGACCTATGTGCTGTGCCACCAGCCATGTCACGTTGCTACCACTCCAGACTGATAGAACCTATGTGCTGTGCCACCAGCCATGTCACGTTGCTACCACTCCAGACTGATAGGACCTATGTGCTGTGCCACCAGCCATGTCACGTTGCTACCACTCCAGACTGATAGAACCTATGTGCTGTGCTACCAGCCATGTCACGTTGCTACCACTCCAGACTGATAGGACCTATGTGCTGTGCCACCAGCCATGTCACGTTACTACCACTCCAGACTGATAGGACCTATGTGCTGTGCTACCAGCCATGTCACGTTGCTACCACTCCAGACTGATAGGACCTATGTGCTGTGCTACCAGCCATGTCACGTTGCTACCACTCCAGACTGATAGGACCTATGTGCTGTGCTACCAGCCATGTCACGTTGCTACCACTCCAGACTGATAGGACCTATGTGCTGTGCTACCAGCCATGTCACGTTGCTACCACTCCAGACTGATAGGACCTATGTGCTGTGCTACCAGCCATGTCACGTTGCTACCACTCCAGACTGATAGGACCTATGTGCTGTGCTACCAGCCATGTCACGTTGCTACCACTCCAGACTGATAGGACCTATGTGCTGTGCTACCAGCCATGTCACGTTGCTACCACTCCAGACTGATAGGACCTATGTGCTGTGCCACCAGCCATGTCACGTTACTACCACTCCAGACTGATAGGACCTATGTGCTGTGCTACCAGCCATGTCACGTTGCTACCACTCCAGACTGATAGGACCTATGTGCTGTGCTACCAGCCATGTCACGTTGCTACCACTCCAGACTGATAGGACCTATGTGCTGTGCTACCAGCCATGTCACGTTGCTACCACTCCAGACTGATAGGACCTATGTGCTGTGCTACCAGCCATGTCACGTTGCTACCACTCCAGACTGATAGGACCTATGTGCTGTGCTACCAGCCATGTCACGTTGCTAGTTTCTCCCTGTTCATCAGTACCCTCATTTACATCATCATAATTCAGGTGTAGTTGAGCTGTTGTACAATGATGCTGTCATTTCCCTCTATTACATCTCCTCTGGTTCTCTCAACATGGAGCAGCAGGTTGTTTGTTTTACATCTGGGTGTTTGTGAGCAGTGCAGCAGGTGCTTGTGTCATTGCCTCGTGGCTGCTTTCAGTGAATGTTTAATACCAGTCAGCAATATCCTGGCTTGAGTCTGGGCCACACAAACCAGTGACTGAAAACATGAGCCACTATCATGGGCAAGATAACACACTGACAAGTCCTGATTCCTGACCACCCTATCCTCGTTAGTCAGCTCCTGTGACCAGCATGGGATACGGAGGACTGTAACTGACCGGAATCCCTAAAGGGTTGTTCTCTTCACTACAAGCCATATACTGTAAATCTTGAAATTAGTGCGTCTCCAAATTAATACGACTGCTGACACCGAGCCAAAAATGCAACTCCCCCCTCCCCATCCACAGTGGAAAGATACACAGCCTTGCCTTAATCCTATCCAATACAAATAGCACTGCTTATAAGCACGGAGTAAAGCACTTCCGTAATAACAATAAACATTGTTGTGTTAAAAACAACACAGTTATATGTTTTTTCTGTTGACTGGCGCTAAGGAAGTTTTAAGGCAATAAAATAATTGAACCAACAACAGATCACTGATTGGAATGGTCAATGATGCCTAGTTTGACACGAGTGGGTAGAGCTCTTGACCCCAGCACTGATAACTCACTGTAAGCCTATTGTGTAATTCCTTTTCTTTAAATGACTTAAATCTTGTTTGTGTATATATTCAAGTTGGTATTTCCGCTATCCAAAATATGCGGTAAGGCTGTCTTATTGTTGATAATCATTTTGGAGACATAAATGCAAAGTTTCATAAATGCAAACAAAGACCACTCTCATTTTTCGCATTTAATTCACGCTCGCATTAATTTGAAGATTTACAGTAGTTGTAGAAGTTGGACACAGCCTCAACATTCTTTTCTTTTTAAAGGATGTCCACATTCCACATTAGCTTTTGCTCACTGTTAGGTTATCATATTATTTTTGTGTCACCGTTTTGCTTTTCAACACTCCTGGGTTTGTCAGCTGTTTGATTGCACTGTCAGCATTATGACCGCTTTCACACAGGGCCAAGTCAGTGCTGAAAGCATTACCTGTATGTCAACACATATTACATCTTGGCTAGTTAGGTGGGGTCGTAGAGAAAACATGCTTTGTCAGCAAATAATCGGGAATGGTGTCGTGTTCCTCGTACACAGCATAGAACAGCTACATTGGCTGACCAGTGTTCTTCATTGTGTTGTCGTGTGACGTGCTTCAAACTGTGGTGTCTGTCATGTCCTGGTGAAGGGAGGTCACTGTAGTGTGACGTTAAGCTGTGGTTTGTGACGTAGTTCATGTTCCTAGGTTAACATGTAGAATTAACATTAACAGTGTCAAGTAGGTTTCCTTCATGGTAGTCTTGCATATGTCCATTGTTTATGCTAATGAAAAGTTATAATTAATTAATCAGTTATTGAACATAAACAAAATTACAAATAATTTTACAAATGTGAATAATTATGATAAAAAATGTAATTATGATTTCACTAAACAATGTCAACTGCATGCAGTAAGATTAGAACATTTGCATTTGAATGTGTAAAGTGTGTCTGCATGAGATCTACAGTTTAGTACAGTGTATTAATTCCAAAGCCCTTCTCCTCAAAGACGTGGTTGTTTTTTCAGGGAGCAGTGCATCTGGTAGCAGCAAGAAGGAGAAAGAAAAGTCCGACCGAAAATCTGCTAGTCCTGCTGGGAGCGGCGGCGGCAGTGACACTGACACAGCCAGCCTAGCGAGCGCGCGACGAGGTGCCCCCAGCGATCGCAGCCTCCCCCCACCTCCTGGGCCTCTTGCACAGATGCCAGCAGACCTCAGTGGGAGCAGGCAGTCCTTTAGAATGGCCATGGGAAACCCATGTGAGTTCTTTGTGGATGTCATGTGATTGGTCACATGTCCAGGTCATGTGACTGACTCCAGAGCCAATCAGCTTGATTGTATTGCATGCAGAGTGATTGAGCAATTCACCAGTGAACCAGAACTCGTCACTTGAGTGTAGAGTGAATCGTTATACTGCAGACTACTTATACGCAGTTTTATAACTTATGTCCAAACTTGTGGAAGATCGGAACAACAGTTTGGCTCCAGAACACAATGTTCGTCCGAAGGATCTGATTTGAAACAATGTCTATCTATTTTCTTTGATCATTTTCAGCCTACTGTGTTACTACATATGCGCATTCTTGTAAACCTGTGTGTATTTAATGCATGACTACGGTGTTGTTATTTATTGTAGCTCTTCTAGAGATTGAGGACATACCGACCACGATTGACTGACGGAAAGTTGCTGCCTGTCTGCCACCTGCCCGTTGCATTCTTCCCTCCGCCCGTTGCCCGCCCGCCCGTAGCCCGCCCGCCATCTCACATCTAACCCACTTCGTTCTTCTAACAACGCTAACCCTTCTACAGTGCCCGCCCGCCTCGTTCGTTCGTTCGCTCTCTGACGCTCTTTCCTTCCCATCATGCAATTAACCCTGCTGCATAAACCTCTGTTGGACTTCTCAAAGCCTTGCTTTGGATTTCACATGGGTGGGTGTGCACCAATAGACATGATCGTGGTTAGTCATGTGACGTGTCATCATGTGATACCTAGCACCGAGGACAGACCGGCCAATGAATCCTGTCCATGAGAGAGAGAGAGAGAGAGATCACAACATTGTATACAAAGTTATTTTTGAAGAAGCCAGTAGGTGTGTAGCTTGACTGAATGCTGTAGAAGACGTGAATGCTGGAAATTGGTTTTCAGTTTCCACAACAGTTACTTCCCTTTGTTTCAACTCGTCTTTCGTTTCCTTATTCACTTTCCTCACTCACCTTATGCATGCTTTCCAAATGCTTGTGTAACCATTGCCAAAATTAACACTGTCAAAACAGAGTGCAGTCTGCTTGATCACAAATACTTTTTCTATTCTTTGCCTGTCTATTGCTGTTCTGTTCACATCTGCTTGTCTGCATGCGTTACCTTTAATAAACTAACTCATGCATAATTCTTTCATGGGGTGTTGATAAAGAGGACTTTATCTAATGGTTAAATCTAATCCAGTTTTGGAAGAAGCAAAACATAGGTTGATTTTGACACCATTCGGAAAGAATTCTGCAAGCATGGCAACCCACACCCAAGCCCCATTCTAAGCATGGCCTGTCATCCTCAGCACTGCCCCTCCCACCTATCCCAGCATCCTTTTGGCATGCAATATTCCGTCTCAGTGGCCAGCATGTCCGTCATCAAACACTCATGATGACCTCATTATCTGCTGACAGTGACGTCATCGTCATGAGTTTGACCTGAGAAACATATCAAAGTGTCCAGCTGCATCCAATTTCGAGCTAAATTAATTGAACTTTCATGCAATGGTGTGAAAGTAGAAATATGTTTATTTTATAATTTATGTTAAAGCTTTATTTCAGGTTTCGACAATCAAGTTTTATTTGAACTGGAAATTGTCTTATTAGTTCAAATTGTCTAATTATATTGGGAGGGTAGCCACCTGGCATAATTTCATTGATTTGATAGTGATTATATAAAAATCCCTAATGAGGACATTTTTGGAAATTTTTGCTATTATTGGCATAATTTGAATTATCCTGGAAGAAATAAAATTGAACTGAATAAAGTGTTTTCCTTCCATGAAGGATCGTAAGTATGAAGGTGATTTAAATCAAATTCCATAATAACTACGTAAGTTTCGGAATTCTATTAGTGTTAGCATAATTCATTGTTAAAATCAATTTCTGAAAGTTGTTGTGCCTTGATAAGATAATGGATGTTGAACAGCTGGAGGTCATTTGTCAAACGTCAGTCGAAGACCGACTTAAAAGGTGAACTGTTTGTCGTCTTCTATACCCCTTGCTTTTGCAGGCCATGTTCTTACAAGCAGTTCCTCAGTTACGTACTACACTGACGCGTGTGCAGTTTACGTACATGCTACGATGTGTACATAAGTCGTCGAACATGCTACGATGTATGCATCACTTATCGAATATGCTACGATGTACGTAAGTCCTACATTATATTTGTAAGTCAATCATTGTGGCACAAATTGTGAGGCCTGCACAAATAGTATGCGTAAGTCCTACATGCTACGATTGATTAATTTACGTAATATATTAGACATACGTCACACGTACATGTTACGATGAGTTATGTAATACATATGTGTGTAATGTCTTATGGACATGCTAAGATTGAGTTATGCATGGTAGTCAAATATGTTTACGTTGAAAACAAGAGAAAATTGCTCAACGTGGATAATAATGAGTTTTAGTCTTTGACATGGTGGTATATTGTTACTTCTGTAATTCTGATGAATTGTTTGTAAGTTTTCTTTTCATGTTTGCATACATACTCATGGTATGGTAGTTTACGATTTAGTTAGAGCAGTAGTTGATAGAAATTGTTTCGATAATTGTAACGAGAGCAACAACTTGGGATTGAACCTGAGACAGCACAGCTACTATTTCCATTGGTTTCTGGGTTGAGTGGTTTTCTCTTGTTAATGAATGCCTTGTACAAATGCAGAACACCAGTGTATGACTGCTAGAGTGATAGTGCGAATGAATGCTGTGGGAGTGCATGGTACATAGTATGCAAGACCGGCTGACTCTAGTGGCCGTTAGTGAGAAACCTGCTCGGATGGACTATGCTATTTATCTTGACAACTTTTAACCTTTTGTACAGACTACATCTGCTATTGTATATTATTTTCTGTCCTTGTACAAAGCTTCTTCACCTGTACAGTTTTACTATGTGCTTTTTTATGTTGATGAGAGTTGTCTCCCTTTGTCAAGTACGAAGTTGTGATAAGACATATCGATGATTTTAAACGAGTGTTGGCATGAACACATTGCTCTGCTGATAATCTGGTGTCCATCCATTTAACTTGCTCTTGTGTGCATCACTTATTGTTTGTTTCAACAAGTATATTTTATATGTCACTATTACAGCCTAATGTGTAGACTTGGTTGAGATTGTTTGCCTACTTGTTATGTAACGTAAACCTGGCGCCGATTCTGAAATAGATACCTGAGCTTATTTCTGAAATCGAGAGAAACCTGAACTGTGAAGATATATGAATATTGTCAACTTGATTTGTTGTCTCTGTTATTGTGTATCCAATCAACCATCATCTTCCATCATGTCCGGGAGTGGGGTAGCCTAGTGGTTAAAGCGTTCGCTCGCCACGCCAAAGACCCGGGTTTGATTCCCCACATGGGTACAATGTTTGAAGCCCATTCTGGTGTCCCCTGCCGTGACATTGATGGGATATTGCTAAAAGCAGCGTAAAACCAAAGTCACTGGCTCACTCCATCATGTCCAGGTGAACTGTCTCTGTTTCCCGACTTGGGTGCTAGTTGTCCTCGACATCATCGCCAAAACATCAGAACAGGACCTTTCCCGTCTACAGTGCAATATCCTTGCTTTACCATATAGCAGGTCCCACATACAAACCACTTGAAACAGAAGTTTGTAATGAACCTTTACAATCAACGCACAAGTTTTAGAGCTGCTTTGTTGTAGTTACAAGCTGGACTTTTACTTCAGTGTTAAAGAGCGGATATATGTTTTAATTTATTATCAGATCTCGACTCATTGCCAAATTTTATGTTTTTGCCTATATTTTACCTTCTTTCACCAACTTCAACCACAGAGCTGATGAGAACTTAAATATTTGTCAAATTCAGTTGCTACTTACGGACTGGTCATTAATTATGGGGGAGGGAGAGCCGGTGAGATTAGGGGAGGAGGGGGGTTCAATAGAAAATGACACCGGGGAAACAGAGGGAGGAGTGTCACAAAATTTAACACAAGTATGTAGGGGGAGGAGAAGAAAGAAGGGAAAATGACTTTTTTTCCAAATAAAAGCAATGACCAGTCCCTTATCTAAATGAATGAGTGGTGATCTGTCTCTTTTCTCATTTGAAGGGGCACAAAGATGAGGAAGATTAGCATTACAATAAATTCTACCTCATAAGTGATTTTTTTGTGAAATATTTATGCTTATATGACAGAAAGTTAGATAGTTGGTTGAAATTCTATGTCAATTTGTCCGTGGGAGAGCGAAGAAGTCCTTGCCATTTCGAATAAGACTAAGGACTTCTAAGATTTGAATCATCTTTCGTAGTTGTGTTTTCTCGCAGACTGACCTGACATGAAGCGATAGGACCATTTTTTATAAGACATGATTACACCATTTAACCTGAAGCCACCCATCTGGTTCAGGCTTAAATTTAATGATGAGAAGTTACTTGACTGCATGTGGTAGGTTAGTCACCATTATGTTGGCCCAGTGAACTGATACCAACCTTTTGTGGAGTCCTGTTTTAAGGAAATCATTCACGAACCTGTATTCCTAGAGTACAGGGTATTGTTGTTATTTTCATGTTTCATTGCCATGCTATTGTGCAACTCTCATACTATACTGAGGGAAAGAAGTAAAGGAACACATTTATATGTTTGATGATGGAAAGAAGTAGAGGAACACACGTTTGACAACATCGTAAAGTTTCCCAAAGATGGCAGCCATTTTGCTGACATAAAGGCTATAGGTTGTACACAGCAGTTAACTTTCTCTACATATTTTGCTGTCCCCTTATTTCTTCCCATGAGTATATGTACATCATAACCTTACAGAGGCTCTGAAACCACTTACAGAGGCTCTTAAACCATGCTCTTTCGTTAGGGCTCTTAGACTAAGCTCTTGCAGGGGCTTTATTATGTTCATATGCAGATAGGGAAGCTATGAATGACTATTTATAGAAATGTTGCCTTACGTAGGGTTATTTTTGTAGTGTAGCGGCTGGTTGAGAGCATGCAGAGTGCGTCCGAGCAGGTCATGTGCTTGATTGTGTAAACAGTTTTTGTAAAGAAAATCTGAGTTGACTGTAGACATGTGTAAATGTCACCAAATTGTCATAATAAACGAATATTCAAAGATATTGCTTTCCTTTGTTCTCATGGAATCACAGGCCTACCAAGGACAACCTGCAGAGAGCAACCAAACTAATGAACATGCAGACACTTTGAATAGAAATAGCCACGCAAATTACAAACAATACACAATCCCAAACAGTGTGATCTCCATTGAAGATGGACCGCCTCCATGGTCAAGTGGTAGAGCATCTGCCCGGAGGAAGGTCCAGGGTTCGATCCCAGGCTACGTCATACCAAAAGACCTTAAAAGATGGTACTTGTTGTTTCCCTGCCTGGCACTTAGCTTAAAAGGGCTGAAACAAGGACTGGTCGGCTGGGAGTCGGTATACTGTGTCTGAGAGGGGTGTCTGTTAAACTGCACCATGGTATCTCAGTGGGCTAGCACTGTAAGATCTGCATAGGTCCGGACTATTACATGCAGACACACATATATTTTGGATGACATTAAGCCCCATTTCATCTCCCCTCCATTGAAAATGTGCCAGGTTTGTATCGTTAGGATACAACATGATGGGGAGGAGTCTAAAGTGATGCAGGTCTTGGATGTTTACCACTGTGGTAAAAGACAAGAACGGCTATGGTGCCGACAGACCCAGAAACATGAAGGGGGCGAACCGGGATTGGCACCCACAAGTTCGTGTGGATGAACCTTTGGATATTTACACGGGAACATTTCATCAAGTCTCAATGTTGATTGGTCAATTGAAGCCCTGATGTCTAAGTGCCATGTGACATCTGAACAATAGGCTGCCTTCAGTCACTTACACCATTCATTCAGGACTTGATGTAAGAGGCGACTAGCAGGCTCAGGTGGTCAGGCTTGCTGACTTGGAGGATGCATGTCATATCATGTCCCAAATGCGTGGACCGATGCTCGTGATGTCAATCACTGGATTGTCTGGTCAAGGTTGAATATTTACAGACTTGTAATATAGCTGGAATAATGCTGAGAGCGGCGTTAACAACAAACAAACAAACATTCACTGGTGACTGACAATTCATAATTCCTCGTGGCTCAGTGGTTATTCTCTAAATCCAGGGTCTGATTTCAGGCCAGCAGAGAGCAACCTAACTATGGAATATGTACGCACTTGACACAGCCACACAAATTACAAACACGAAGCAATCCCCATACAGTGTGCATAGTAATAAGAACATTGCACAATTTCAATATGTGCACCCCGTTTGTTGCAGTCTGCAGTCTGCATGCTTTTCTGTTTGGTTCCATTGAAAATGTGTCAGGTTCTTATTGCAGGTGAAGTTGTTGGAGACATGGTTCTGTTTGTTGTTTTACGCCGCACTCAGCAATATTCCAGCTATATGACGGCGGTCTGTTAATAATCGAGACGGACCAGACAAATCCGTGATTGATATCATGAGCATCAATCCACGTAATTCTGATTGATGACATACATCAACCAGGTCAGCGAGTCTGACCACCCGATCCCGTGAGTCGCCTCTTACGACAAGCATAGTCGCCTTTTACGGCAAGCATGGGTTGCAGAAGGCCTTTTCTAAAACGGATCTTCACGGGTCTGGAGACTGATGGAGATGCAATGTGCCTCAGACAGAAAAAGAAACATAAATAAAGGGACAGCCATTGGTCTTTTCAAGCAAAGTGTACTTTGGATCAACCCAAGTGAACTCAGTATTTATATTGATAAGAGATTTTAATTTGTAATCAACATATTACCATTGGCCCATGGACAGTTGCAAAGCATGAACAGTAGGATCAATCGTTAACAAAGTATTTTGGGGTCTTGAGATGATAAAGATGAAGGAATATCACTTACTGTAGACGCTCGATTAATTGACAATTAGGACCGGCTCCATGGTCTGGTGGTAGAGCGGAAGGTGGGAGGTTAGATCCCTGCCGCGTCATACCAAAAATATGTTACTTATTGTTACCCTGCCTGGTGCTCGGTAAAGGGGCTTTAACAAGGACTGGTCGGCTTGGAGTCAGTATACTGTGTCTGAGTAGGGTATTCATGTTAAACTGCGACATGGTATCTCAGTGGGCTAGCACTATAAAATCAGCATTAGTCGGGACAAGTACAAACAGCCACACACAAGTCACTATGTTAGTGCAATAATCTAGATCGCTAATCTCCACTTCACCTTACGTAACTGACGATTATTAGAGAACCAGTGTTCACTGTAGAGGGGATGGGTGGCTCACGGTGTGATATTAAATCAAAACCTAACATCAGAAAGGGGACTTGGTGATTATTGCAGACAATCACTTCTGCAAGCCCCACATATACAATGACCCCTGGAGAGCCTGGACAAGACTACAGGTCCCCAACAACTTATACACTAAATAAATCAGGTGTTCAAGCTCGTATTACCAGTCACTGGATCGTGTGGTCCAGACTTGATTATTTACACCCCCACCATCATAGATCTGGAAAACTGCAGTGTAGCGTTAAACAGGAAGGTGGTCAAGCTCGTAATACCAGTCACTGGATCGTGTGGTCCAGACTTGATTATTTACACCCCCACCATCATAGATCTGGAATATTGCAGTGTAGCGTTAAACAGGAAGGTGGCCTGAGGTCTTACCTCACATTCAAGATTTTTACACTCATCCACCTTTGTGTGTGTGTGTGTGTGTGTGTGTTTGCGTGCGTGTACGTGTGCGTGTGTGCGTGTGTTTTTTAGTGTTTTATATTGCTAGCTCACTGAGATAACAAGGATACCCCACCCCACACAGTATACTGAGCGCCAACCAGGGTAACAACAAGTACCATCTTTTAAGACTTTTGGGCCAGGGATCGAACCACCAACCTTCCGATCTCTGGGCAGATGCTCTATCCACTAGGCCGAAGAGGAGGTCTCGTTAAACAACAAACATGGTCTATTGATCAGAACAACAAAATCCAAAGGAATCACGATAAACAAATGTCTACTAAATAACATCTGCTGTTACTGTGACTAACATGTAGCACAAGATAGTTGATTTGTCTATTATTCAAGGGTTTTACTCCCCTCCCGCATTGTTTAGGTCTTAGTGTTTGTTTGTTTGTTTTTTTACTTGTTGTTTAACCCCGTATTGATCATTAATCGAGCCATATGATGGTGATTCCTAAAAAAATCTAGTCTGGACCAGCCAATGCAGTGATTGACATCATGAGTAGTGATGTACGTAGTTGGCAACCAAGTCAGCGAGTCTAACCACCCGATCTCGTTAGTCGCCTCTTAGGACGAGCATTGGTTGCAGAAGACCAATTTTAATCCAGATATTCACAGGGGAAATCTTGATTCAAAGATGGGCGATCAACTCGGCCAACACCTTACCATGGGAGCAGGTGCGCTATCACAAATAACAAGTGCTCGTTTCCCAAGTCATCAGCACCCAGTTGTTTACCGTTACACGCATGCTCAGCTCCCATTTTCTCCAAGTTTCATCAGAGTGGATTAATTCGCTAAAAGTAATGTCTAACCCATACCCTACCCAACAACTAACCCTAAGGATCGTAAAGGGGTGTTTGATTCCGAATGGTGTTGAACCCTAAGGATCGTAAAGGGGTGTTTGATTCCGAATGATGCTGAACCCTAAGGATCGTAAAGGGGTGTTTGATTCCGAATGATGCTGAACCCTAAGGATCGTAAAGGGGTGTTTGATTCCGAATGATGCTGAACCCTAAGGATCGTAAAGGGGTGTTTGATTCTGAATGATGCTGAACCCTAAGGATCGTAAAGGGGTGTTTGATTCCGAATGGTGCTGAACCCTAAGGATCGTAAAGGGGTGTTTGATAGGATAGGGGTACAAGCCCCAAAGATCGTAAAGGATGCTTGATCGGAAAGGGTGAGGTGAGGTGAAATGGGCTTTAAAATCGCGTTCAAGATTATTGCACTTATATAGCGACGCGCATGCATGTGTGTGTGTGGCTGTTTGTACTAGTCCGGACTAATGCCGATTTTTATAGTGCTAGCCCACTGAGATACCATGCCGCAGTTTAAAAGGAATACCCAACTCAGACACAGTATACCGACTCCGAGCCAACCAGTCTTTGTTTTAGCCCCTTACTGCCGAGTGCCAGGCAGGGTAACAACAAGTACCATCTTTTAACATCTTTAGGTTTAAATTGACACGGCCGGGGATCGAACCCACCACCTGCAACTCTCCGGGCAGGCGCTCTTTCCATCAGACCACAGAGGCGGAAAAGGGATCCAAGGGCAAATGATGGAGTTTGGGGTAACGCACTCTAACCAGCCAACCCCAACATATGTAACCCTGACGCGGAGGCACGAGAGCGAGATCTGTGAAGCAATTAAGAAATAGCCTACACAGAGCTAGGTGTATCCTCTGTGCAAGTGAGCGAAACTCCGGGTCGTAACTTTGGACTAACAGACCGCCGTCATATAGCTGGAATATTGCTGAGTGCGGCGTTAACCCTCTGGATGCCGAGGGTTTTTTTCTGACGCACATTTTCCTAAGATCTGAAAAGTTAGGGTTGTGCGAGAATTGCACTCACGCGGCACAGGATCTACCACTGGCTATAAAATTAGGCAGGGATGTAGAATATTAAATTTCCCATCTGATGGTGTAAATGTAACTGCACATATTAAATCGGTTTGAAAAAAGACATTGCAAAGTGTTGTCCGAGAATTTATTCTGCGTTGAAAAACAGCAAATTTCGCCGCTTTATATCGTACAACCATAAAAGTACTGTGCCACGATTTTTTTTAATTTAGCTGTATTACAGAAACTGTGAGCGAACAAAAGACTGCCTTATATCTGAACGCCATAAATATATAACAAATGGATTTATATGCTTATGTTAAACGTAATACATTCAATACAAATATAGCCTGCCGTAAATGACGAAAACTGATTTTCCTCTATGACGTCAAAAGACGACAGAGAGGTAACAGACGTATAAAGACAAGGGGGCATAACTCCGCTATACTTAGCACTAGTTTATTGTAACTCGGGCCACTTGGTAAGAATTAGCTGTGGATAAGGACAATATATTTTCGTGGTGATTTGTTCACGAGGAAG